TAAGGACCGAACCCAGGCAAGCTTGCTAGGCAAGCGCTCTGCCACTGAGCTATAGCCCCAGCCCCGATTGCATCTTATGTAACTATAGGTTGCATCTTATGCAATAGCAAAACCAGGAAACATTGATGCAATGCACAGTGCTGCATCATTTTTTTTTCATATTGGAGCTTTATATAACCACTACTGCAATCATATATATATATATATATATATATATATAGCAAAGAGAGAGCAGAGGGGATATCTATCTATCTATCTATCTATTATATTCCTATATATGTATCTATATATCTATCTTCCTCTATATATGTATTTTCCTATATATAGAAAGATACATATACATCTATATATCTATAGAACTGCTCCATTATCACAAAGCTATCCCTTTAGCTACCTCTTTATAAGCATACTCTTTCCCATTTTTTATACCTCATACCTTTATTTTTTTATTTATTCATATGTGGTGCTGAGGATTGAACCCAGTGCCTCACACGCACTAGGCATGTGCTCTACCGCTGAGCCACAACCCCAGTCCCTCCCATTTTTGTTTCTCTTACAATTACATAAAGGTACTTTTAAAAGGTCCAGCATCTCTCAGTAGTGCTAAGATGATCAAGGTGGGTATGTTCACTGCCATAGGTTGATTCTAGAATGTTCTCCAAAGGCTTTGTCTTAAGGCTTGGTCCTCAGCTTTGTTCTATTGGAAACCAGTAGAATCTTTAAAAGGTAGGGCCTAGCAGGAGGTCTCTAGGTCACTGGTGGTGTGCCCTTGAAGGGCATTGTGAGCTGCAGGTCTCTTCCTCTCTTTTATTTCCTGTTGCCATAAGGTGAACAGTTTTGCTCCTCCACATGCTCCTTGCTATGCTGTGCTGCTTTGCTGCAAGCCCCAAAGCAACAGGGCCAACTCATCATGGACTGAAACCTGTCAAATCACCAGTCAAAAATAAGCCTTTCCTCTTTTTAAATTGACTATCTCAGGTATTTAGTTATGATAGCAGAAAGCTGACTAACGCACCCTCTCTAGAGCAAGAGAAAAGGGGAGATTGGATATGTTATGGGGGCAAGATGAAGTCTAGCAACAGAAGCAACAGTAGGGAAACCCCAAAGGAGGAGAATCAACGTAAAGGGAGAGTCTTCTAATTAATCTTGTTATGGGGGTGAGTGGGGAAGTTGAGTGCAGCTTTTGTTTTACAAAACCTTTCTCCTTCTGCAAGGGAATGCAAAGGACATAGGGACTAGCAACTGCCTGTAAGGAGTTTATCCTAATTTTAACCACGGTCTTCTGTCTGACCTCCAAATAGGCTGTTTGCAATCTGTATCTCCTTAAGTTTAATGGGAAAGCAAATTATTTCTTTTGTCTTCATTGCTTTGGACTGAGTGAAATATTTCTGGCATAACATACTCAGGTTTTTCTGGGTATCTGCCATTCATGAACACAATTAAAAAAAAATTTTTTTTTTGTCTCTGTTAGATAGAAAGCCAGAAGAATCTAAGGTTTCCAACTGCAAAAGAAAATGACTAGAATAAAAATTCACAGATGCTAGGATAAAAGCAAAAAAGTTCTTGAGTACATAGTGGAGAGAAATCTCAGGACAGAAGAAAACAGAATCCTGGGACCCCTAGAGGTGAGTATTGTCAGGCCTGAGAGGGACTGAAAGACCCCAAAGTGAGAATTTGGTTTTCTCCTGCAACTGTGCAAGGGGAAAGGCTGAGTTCAAGAGGCTCAACCGAGATTTTGGAAAACATGAATCACCTACATTGGATGTAGGTGAAACTAAGTACTTTGAGGGGTCTCTACTGGTGACACGGTTCAATGTGGAGATTCCCCCCCCACGCCGTCCCCCGGTCACCAGCAATTAACAAAGCTGCCTCAGTTTGCTTCAGGTGACCCTAAGCCACTTCAAATCTCCTTCCTGGTTCTTGGCTGCTTTTGGCATCTTGTGCTGCCCTCACATCATCATTCATCCAGTATGAGTGAACTTACCAACCCATCAGGCTGGCCTACAAAGACTTGAAGTATGTTTGCTTCTTGTTAATGGCACTTCAATCAGTCAGAAATATTTTGGGGCGGGGGATGCCTTAAAATTGTCTTGGGACTCTGGAAATCATACCACTTCTCTGTTTCTGTATCTTTAATGGTAATAGTAATCTTTTCGGGGAGGAGGGTTACTAGGGACTGAACCCAGGGGTGCTTAACTGCTGGGCCACATTCCAGCCCTTTTTATGTTTTGAGACAAGGTTTTGCTGAATTGCTTAGGGCCTTGCTGATTTGCTGAGGTTGGCCTTGAACTTGTGAACCTCCTGTCTCAGCCTCCTGAGTTGCTGGGATTACAGGTAGGATGGTATTACTCTTTTTTGGGGGGTGAATACCAGGGTTTGAACTCAAGGGCACTCAACTACTGAGCCACATACCCATCCTTATTTTTGTATTTATTTAGAGACAGAGCCTCACTAAATTGCTTAGCACCTCACTTTTGCTGAGGCTGGCTTTGAACTTGAGATCCTCCTGCCTCAGCCTCCTGAACTGCTGGGATTATAGGTGTGTGCCATCGTGCGTGCCTGGCACGGTATTACTTTTTGTTTTTTGTCTTAGTCTGCTTTTTTTTTTTAATGTTGCTATAATAGAATACCATAAACTGGGTAATTTATAATGAACATTCTAAAATAGCGGGGTTGCATCTAGTGATGCCTTCTTGCTGCATTCCAACACAGTGGAAAGCATCACATGGTTGTGGAAGGCTCATCCTTTTATCAGGAACCACTCCTGAGATCACTAACCTACTCCCATGATAATGGTATTCGTCTGTTAATGAGGCATGGCCCTCATGGCCTAATCACCTCTTAAACTTCCCACCTCTCAACACTGTTGCTTGGGGGATGAAGTGTCCAGCACATGGACTTTGGAGGACACATTCAAACCACAGCATATAATAGCAAACTGACTAAAAAGTGTGTTGAAAGAGAGAAATTCACATCTAAGATTACAGTCAAAGAAGGATTCTGCCCTCTGATGGTGGACATTAAGGCTGTGAGGTACCTGAAGGATTTCTCCCCAGTATTGCTTACAATGTGCTTGGCACTGTGTTAAGCCCATCACACGAATCATCCCACTTAAATCTTTAATATTTGTATGAGATTGTATGTACTATAATTGCCCCCAATTTTATGCAAGAAGAAACTGAAGTTCAGAGAGGTTAAGAAATTTGCTGAGATCCATGGATGGAAAGTATCAAGGCAGTTTAACCACAGAGACAGTTCTCTGAATCACTGTGTCCTCCTGAAACCCTCTCAATTGGTGACGGTATTTTTCTCCCAAAGTCTCCATTCTCCTAGGCCTGACAGCATATGGCTATTCTCTCCCTCTTCTCCCAACCTCTCAGTTTTTTTAAAAAATATTTTTTAGTTGCCAGTGGATTTTTTATTTTATTTCCTTATTTATATGTGGTGCTAGGGATCGGACCCAGGGCCTCACACATGCTAGGCAAGTGCTCTACCACTGAGCCACAACCCCAGTCCCTCAACCTCTCAGTTCTAAAGCTCACATCATCAGACTGTACTATCCACATCTATTGCTCATCAATGTGGTCCTCTGAAACCTAGTCACTTCTCTCATTAATTTCAGTCATTCTCTCAGTAATCTTGGTTTCTAGTTCAATGCCATCCTAACACCATTCCTATCTTGATTTTTGGCAATTTCAGCATGTATTCATTTAAAACTCTGACCTCACAGATCCATGAAATATCTTCCAACAATTTTATCTTCCACCGTGTCTCAGATACACACTTCCATGGTCACAGCTGCATAGTCCTTCACATGGACAACAACTGTACTAGTCTCAGTTTCACACATCCTCTTCTCTTGCCACTGCTTCCTATTTTTCCAGGTTACTTCCTTAGAAGCAATATCTCACACCAGGAACCCCCCAATATGTTGACCGTGAACCTATTACATATTTACTACATATTATTCCCTTAAGCACTTGATATTTCTCTCTCTCTCTCTCTCTCTCTCTCTCTCTCTCTCTCTCTCTCTCGTACAGGGGATAGAACCCAGGGGCATTCTACCACTGAGCTACATCCCTGGTCCTTTTATATTTTTTATTCTTAGGGCTTTTCTAAGTTGCTGAGGCTGGCCTAGAACTTGAAACTTTCCTGCCTCAGCCTCCTGAGTTGCTGGGTTCACAGGTGTGTGCCACTACACTTGGCTTGATTTCCTCTTTAATTAGCTTAACTTCCATGTGATAACTCTCTTGCATATACCTTGGACTCTCTTGCCCTGCTGTGGTCTAAATATACTCCCCTGACCAAATCGGACCCTGTGTCCTATGTGCCTGTACTGGTACAGCTGTGCTAGTGGCTGGGGGGAAAACACAGCTCAGCTCACAACTGTCTTAAAACAAGTGAGATTATCTCACCAAAGAGAATTCTGGGGGCCTGGGGCATGCCAGGAAGCCTTCCAGGACACTCTATCTGACTCCTGCAGGTGGGAAGGCTTCCCCAGCTACTGGGCACACAGTACAGTGGGGTCAGGCACCAAGTCAACCTAATTAAAAAGCTCATTGCACCAGCTCATCCTCATTAACATGTGCAAAAGCACAGAATCCCCTCTGCTTCCCAAGCTGGGGATCCCAGTCACTGTCCCTAGGGCCTGGAAATTCTGGCCAGTTTATTAAAGTGCCCTCCCTGTCTGCAACCATCAGGCACATGGCAACAAACTGGTAGAGGAGCTAAGACCAAAAATCTCGAGTTTGACTGACCTCATCAGAGGAAATAAATTGCAATTGGGTTATTCTGTTCTGGGCCTTTGAGGATGAGGCTGATTGAACATCAGTGATCCAATCAGCTTTAGGATGACTATGGATGCTGGAGGACATTAAGAGCAGCATGTCTACCACAGAGGGCACAGAGTTGGCACCCATGGCTCCATCAAGGGCAAGGCCTGCACAGTCACTGCTTCAAAACAGAGCTGCCTCTTCAAAAACAAATCCTGCCGTGGTGCCTGGTCCTTAGTAGGGGCTTGTTAGAGATCTGTGATTGAATGAGTAATACACTCAAGCCAGAAATCAGTAAAATGCATTATCCTAAGTGAAGAAAAATTACTATTATAGAATTCATGTTGAAGAAGATTGTGATGACAGAAGAAGTGATCTGTGACAACATCCTTGAAGGAGGTGACTTCTTAATACTTGTTAGTTCATTTCTATAATTTCCAAGGGGAGGGAATAAATGCCTTTTGAATAAAAGTAAAAATTCTCTCACTTTTGATTCATAAATTTCAAATGAACTTTTTATTTTTTTGAGGGGCTGGGGATTGAACCCAGGTTCTCAAGTATGCCTGGGAAACACTCTACCACGGAGTCACATCCCCAGCCCTCAAGTGAGTGTTCAGTGGTCCTGCAATCAGAATTTCCTAATCCATTCTCAAAAATCATTTCATTACTTCTCTGTCTTCAAACCCCCAACCTTCTTCATCCTTACTTTCAACTGGTGACCTTATTTTCTACTTCACCAAGACAAATGAAGACTAGGACAACTGCATAATTTCTCCACTCCATTGACTACCGCATACCAACATCTGCTGTTCCCTGATTCTCTGCTAGCCTTAGTTTAGGAGGGATATCACATCCACCCTTCCAACTGGATCTGCCTCCCCCACCCCCACACATTGTCACCGTTTTTCCTCTCTTGTGTAATTCCTATCAGTGTATAAACATTGTGTTATTCCCCTAATCTCGCAAATTTGCAAATTTTGTTTGACCACAGTTCCTCCAATAGTTTGTCCAAATTCTTCCTTCTTTCCTTTCCCATGTGGAAGATCTGACCCAAAGCCTCCTGAAGGGTAGGCAGCGTTCTACTACTGAGCTATACCCTCAGGCCTGGCTTACCCTATTTCCTTCTTCCTTTTTGTTGTAAATTCCTTAAAATAATTGATTAATTATTTCCTTAAAATAATTGAAAAGAACTTTCTTCTTTTCCCTTTTTTTTTTTTTTTTTAATAAAGGTACTGGGGATTAAACCAAGGGGTGCTGTACCACTGAGTTACATCCCCAGCCCTTTTTATTTTTTATTCTGAGACAGGGTCTTGATAAATTGCTGGAGGTTATTGTGATCCTCCCGTCTTAGTCTTCCCAGTTGCTGGGATTACAGGCAGGTGCCACCATACTCAGCTCTTTTTCTCCTTCCTTTCTTTCACCAGGGATTGAATCCTGGGGCACTTTACCATTGAGCTATATCCCCAGCCCTTTTTATTTTTTAGACAGAGTCTTGCTAAATCGCTTAGGGCCTTGATAAGTTGCTGACACTGGTGATCCTCCTGCTCAGCCCCTCAAGTTGCTGGAATTATAGGCATACACCACTGAGCTTGGCTCTTTTTTTTTTTTTTTTGTGGTGCTGGGGATTGAACCCAGGGCCTTGTGCATGCAAGGAAAGCACTCTATCAATTGAGTTATATACCCAGCCCTGAGCCTGACTCTTTAAACAAATCTTAAAGAATCCAAGTTATTGCCAGGCAGGACAGTGCACACCTGTAATCCTAGCAACTTGGGAGGCTGAGGCAGGAGGATTGAAAGTTGAAGGTCAGCCTGGGGAATTTAGCAACGCCTTGTCTTAAAAATAAAAATTAAAAAGGATTAAGGATGTAGTTCAGTGGAAAAGTGCATCTGGATTCCATCTCCAATACTACAATCAAACAAGCAAACAGACAAACAACAACAACAAAAACCTAAGTTATTTAAAAATATTGTTAGTGATTCAACTTGGGGACAAAAATTTAATAACTTTCTTTCTTTAAGAACTATTTAGAGTTTGGAAGGTGAGCTGTTAAAAAAGCTGTTGCATTTACAACTCTGTGGGAAAATTAGGACTTTCTTCTTTTGTACAATCAAAACAAAATGCAGAGATATATTATTATTATTCCTGACGTGGTTTTTGTTTTGTTTTGTTTTCAGCCCTGCAGATGAACCCATGACCTTGGGGGTATTAGGCAAGTGCTTTCCACTGAGCTAAATCTTGAACCACCAATATATTGTTATTCTTAATGCTAATTGTAAATTGTTATTATCGTGTTCCTAAGGTAAATATTTTAAACATGATCTTATTAAATATTTTTGTTAATTAAATACCACTTTTGACTTATTTGACACTCCAAAGTGTCTCATAAATTTTTATTTGTAAAAGGTTTTATTCAGCTTCCCAGTGGTATAAAAATGAAAAGGAAAATGTAAGTAGAGATTAATAAGTATATATTCTGTAATCCTTGGATAAATGAAAGGCATCTTTGATTTGTTTCAGGTAAAGAATGTGGTTGGTACTATAAAGTAGAGAATTTATGGGATGGGGATGTAGCTTAGTGATGGAGCATGTACTTTGTACCCTTGAGGTTCTGGGTTTGATCTCCAGCACAGCAAAAAGCCAAAACTAAAACCAAAAGGCAATAGGAAAACAAAAACAAACAGACAATACAATTAGAGAGTTTCACAGTGGCTTTCTGCATCAGCGGTTTTAATGTGGGTTCTTAGTGGTGATCTACTGGTCAGATTACTATGTTTTACTGCTCTCTGGATTCTGGCCTAGTGAAATCTAGGCTCAGACATCCTCCCCAATCTCTTTCTTGATCCAGTCCACATAACTGAGTAGTTTGGTGTAGAAGCCATATCCTTTACTGCATCCGATGCCCCAGGATACGATGCCCGTAGCCACCCAGCGATCGCTGTTGGTGTCCCTCACTGCAAAAACACCTCCGCTGTCCCCCTGGCAGGCATCCTGCTTTAGAGATGGGTCCCCCGTACAGAACATGTTTTGAGAAAACACATCGTTACTCTGTTTTTCCTGGAGCCACCTCTCACAGGCCTTTCGATCAGCTACAGGTAAGCGGACAAACCTGAGGTCGTTAGCGATCCTCTCCTCTGTTATCCCAAAGCCACTGACATAGCCCATGAGGCCTTTATCATAGAAGGTCTCATTGTCAGGGAGGCAGATGGGGAGGATGTTGGGGCCCAGGGTGACACTGTTTTCAAGCTCCAGCAGGGCAATGTCCCCCTCAAAACTGTGGGACTCGTCCTGACGATAGTCTGGGTGGACGATGACCCTGTGGACAGGGTGATTTCCCAATTTCTGGATCTCCTCCACATTGGTGTGGCCCAGGAACACATCCTTGGTGACATTTTCCTGTGCGTGGTGGTCCTTGGGGAAGAGAGTGTGGGCAGCTGTGAGGATCCAGCGGTCACCCAGCAGGGCCCCGCCCCCTCGCCCGTAGATGACCGTGTACGCCTGCCAGGGGAAGTTGCCCGGCTGCGCTTTTTGCCCTCCAATGATGCGCTGCTTCTGTTGCACAGGGTTGACGGGCTTCCCACACACTAGAGAAGAGAGACAGGAGGACAAGACCAGTCAGCCCGGGGCCTGCCCCCCGCCTCCCTCCTGTGGCCACTCAGTTCCCCTCCTCCCTTCTGTTTGATTCTTGCCCATTTTCTTTCTCCTCTCTTCCTACGCCCTGTTCTTGGACCTCTGGTGGGCCGTTTCTCCTCTTCTTGTTTATTTCTTCCTAGGATTTCTCTTATATTTATTCCCTGATTTCCCATCCGTGAAAATGCTAGCGCATCAGGACTGGGTCCAGTTCTCTGTGCCTCTCTTATTTTCTCCTAGTACCTTCCTCCTCTTCTCTGTATTACTCTCCTTTGCTCTTACTCCTCATCTCTGGTTTTGACTTCCAGCTAAAGTATCTCTCTCCTCACTCAGGTCTCCTTTCTCTGTGCCATGCTTCTTCTGGGGTCGGGCAGGGCTGCTTTAAGATATCAAGGATGGCCCCAGAGGGTTTCCACTCACCTGGCAAACACCGAGGGATTTTCTCTCCTTCCTGTTCATTCTTCCAGATGCCCTGGGCTGTGCAGGTGTACAACCCTGAGGTTGGGAAGGGTAAGAAAGCCAGGTTGCAGAAGCCAGTGAGCACTGACTATGTTGTTATAGGGAGATGGGAGATAAGGAACCAACACAGATGAGGATGAAAGTTAAACTGTTCAAACATATAAGGATAAAATATCAAAAATGTTAAGAGGCTCTTACATATATTTTTGTTTTAAGGTCAAGTGGAAAAAAATTAGAGTACTTAAACATATGTCTAATGTGAGGCCTATTTGTGCAAGTAGTCATAAAACCAAAGAAATATATCCAAATCTTATCGGTGAGGCTTTTTTTTTTTTTGGTACTGGGGATTGAATCCAGGGGTACTTAACCACTGAGCTACGTCCCCATCCTTTTGTATTTTTTACTTGAAGACAGGGTTTCACTAAGTTGCTTAGGACCTTGCTAAATTGCTAAGGCTGGCCTCTAACTGATCCTGCCTCAGCCTCTGGAATTACAGGCATGTGCCACCATGCCCAGTTAGTGACACATCTTGGTAGTGGGATTGCAGATAATTATGGTAGCTACTTTTTTTTTTTTTTTTGGTACTGGAATTGAACTCAGGGGCACTCAAATACTAAGTCACAACTCCAGCCCTATTTTGCATTTTATTTAGAGATGGGGTATCACTGAGCTGCTTAGCACCTTGATTTGCTAAAGCTGGCTTTGAACTCATGATCCTCCTGCCTCAGCTTCACTAGCTACTGGGATTACAGGTGTGTGCCACTTGCCCAGCATTAGCTACATTTTTTGCTTGTTGACAATGTACCATGCTTTTGGCTAAGCATTTTGTCTGCATTATCTCATTTATGTGCCACCAGTGATACTTTCAGGTACATATTATCTTCAATTTATACAGATGTGGAAACTGAGTTTAAATAATTTGCACAAGGTCAAAATATTCTTTTATTTATTTATTGGTATTGGGGATAGAACTCAGGAATGATTTACCACAGAGCTGCATCTCTAACCCTTTTAATATTTTATTTTGAAACATGGTCTCACTAAGTTGTTTAGGGTCTCATTAAATTGTTGACCCTTTTCTTAAACTTGTGATCCTCCTATTTCAGCCTCCGAAGTCTCTGGGATCAATCACAGAAGTACACCACTATGCTTAGCAGGATCACAGAATTTCTAAGCACCAGAACTAACATGAATAGGGAGAGATGTCTGACTCCAAAGCCCATCTCTTAATGCATATCATACATAACCTAGGTTTTTTTTTTTTTTTTTTTTTTTTTTTTTACACATTTTAAACCTGTTTTAACGAATGCTGTTTTGGCTTTATTTATTTATTTTTTTTTTACAGTGCTGGGGATGGAACTCAGGGCCCCTCATACTTTTTTTTTTTTTTTTGTACCAAGGATTGAACACGGGGGCACTCGACCACTGAGCCACATCCCCCAGCCCTATTTTGTATTTTATTTAGAGACAGAGTCTCACTGAGTTGCTTAGTGCCTCACTTTGGCTGATGCTGGCTTTGAACCTGCAATCCTCTTGTCTCAGTCTCCCGAGCTGCTGGGATTATAGGCGTGCGCCACTTCGTCCAGCTCCTTCACACATGTAGGCAAGTGCTTTACCATTGAGCTATACCCCCAACCTTGATTTTTTTTTTAATTTTCAAGATACCCATAGATGATTTTGAGAGTCATTAAGTAAACCTAAATGAAAAAAATCACAATATTCACCCTGGGTAGGAAGAATGGAGGGGCAAGACTCACTGAAACTGTAGTGGTGATGATGGTAATGGTGGTCACAGTGGTGGTGATGATAGAAATGGTAGTGTTGGTGGTGATGGTGGAATTGGTATTGATGATGGTGGTATTGGTAATGATACTGGTGGTGTTGGTGGTGTTGATGATGGGAGTGTTGGTATGGTGATGGTGATGGTGGTGTGTGTATTATTTTTTTTTTTAAGAGAGAGTGAGAGAGGAGAGAGAGTGAGAGAGAGAGAATTTTTAATATTTATTTATTTTTTTTTCAGTTCTTGGCGGACACAACATCTTTGTTGGTATGTGGTGCTGAGGATCAAACCCGGGCTGCACACATACCAGGCGAGCGCACTACTGCTTGAGCCACATCCCCAGTCCCCTGTGTATTGTTTTTTTTTTTTTTTTATTGTTGGTCGTTCAAAACATTACATAGTTCTTAATATATCATATTTCACAGTTTGATTCAAGTGGGTTATGAACTCCCAATTTTACCCCGTATACAGATTGCTGTATCACATCAGTTACCCTTCCATTGATTTACATATTGCCATTCTAGTGGCTGATGTATTCTGCTGTCTATCCTAGTGTATTGGTTTTTGTAGTGATTGGTAATAATGATGATTGTGGTAATGATGTTGCTGGTAATAATGGTGATGGTGGTGATTGTGGTTTTGGCATTGGTAATGATGGTATGGATACCCTTGGTGCTGGTAATGGTGGTGATGGTAATGATGTTGGTGGCGATGGTAGTGGTGGTGATGTTATTGTTGGTAAGGACGGTATTGATATTGTTAGCAATAATGGTTATGGTGGTGTCTGTGCTAGTATTGGTACTATTGGTGGTGATGATAGTGTTGTTACAAGTAGTGATAGTGACTGTGGTGATGATTGTAGTGGTGATAAAAAGGAAATGGCAGTTTATGAAGTTCAAATCTTTCTCTTTGCATCAGCTCAGGTACCACCTTCTTCAAAACTAATAGACTTTTCGGGGCTAGGGATGTGGCTCAAGGTAGCAGGCTCACCTGGCATGCATGTGGCCTGGGTTCGATCCTCAACACCACATACAAGCAAAGATGTTGTGTCCACCGAAAACTAAAAAATAAACATTAAAAAAAATTTTCTCTCTCTCTCTCTCTCTAATAGACTTTTCGGACTGTAATTTCAGGAGAAGCCAGTGTCCTGGGAAGATATGTTAGTATACACTCCCTAGGGATTCCACCGGAAGACATCTCAGACATCCCAAGAAGATGTAAAGGAGAGAGGACTGTCATTGGCATCAGTTCCTACCTCGTGCATTCTTGTTGCTTCCAGGTCTGATCTGCATCTTATAATATGGCTCATGGCAGTAGTACTGGATTTGGGCCTCGTAGGTGTTCACCCCACTTCTGGTGATGTAATTGAAGTCCCCATTAGACAGGCTTTGGGGCTGCCCACAGTCCTTGACTAGGGGAGAACACAAGATTGTGTGAGAACTGAGAATGACTGCCCTGGAGCTTCAGTAGGGGGAATGTAAGTTGTCTGCCTGCAGAACAGAGTGAGAAACTTAGATAAATACAGTCAGTGAGGAGGGCACTTGCAAAGGACAGGAGTTGGATGGGGTGAAATTTCTGGTAGAGGCCATTGATCTTGAGGAGATGGGGCTGAGTGGTTCCTAAGATGGGCCATAAGCTTCAAAGAGCAAGTCACGGGGAGGGGCTCTTGGAGAGAGCCTATCCTGTACCCTCTCTTTCCTTCTCAGCTCAGATCCCCAAAGCTGGGAGGTCCCCAATGGAAGACACACCCCTGAATTGTGACTTACTCTTGCACGTGGGCATGGCACGATGCCATGTGCCATCATCCTGGCAGACAGCTGTGAAGGACAGCAGTGCCTGGTTCCTCTGTTTGAGCAAAGGTGAGAGGTGCTGTTAGTACCAGGAGACAGGCAGCTGTCCTTCCCCACACAGGAGCAGTAGGGAGTTTCAAGTCGGCTTTTGAGCTCTCAGACCTGGGCTCCCCCACTAGGGCCCATCATGGCCTCCTGCCTTCTTCAAAACTACTACTTTTCAGACTGTGATTTCTCACTAGCC